CAGCTGTCAAAGCCTGACCTTTTCCTACCTGACCAAGTGAAGCAGCCTTAATAGAATCTGTTTAACCATACCAATTCACCTTTGTTGCAATTCAAAATCAATCAACTCAGCAATGAGATCCAAAACACTCTCCATACATGGCAATATTCACTCATTTCTAATCCTTCATAGAAATTTCATACTTAAAATCCAAGTTATGTACATAAAAGCCAAAGAATGAAAAATATCAGTTTTTCCTTTCTGTACACTTTTCTGTCATATGTCATAAAGATCTACTATCCCCTACAAATTCGAGTATAGACTAAAAAAGCTAAATTACAGACACACAGCCTGAGTCTATAGTAGAACACGGTTCCAGATCTGATAACTAGCTTCATTTATATTTTACAAATTTTTGTCCAGTAAAAGCACAGAAGCCAGTAAAATCTAGGCAAAGAAATTAATGATCCTTTTTCTATACATATTTCTCCATCAAAGCAAACACAATGCAACTTATTAGTATTACAACTCTTCCTAATGTAAAACTATTTATTTTATATAAGGAGATCAATATAAAAATCATTGTAGCATTAAGGAAACTGAAAAGACAAAGACATGTGTCCAATCAGTCTACCGGTACTCTAAGTCCAGGTAAACTCTAAAACACTTGTGCCAGTAATCCACCTTCTGAGACACGGAAACAAAATGGCCCCATGGTTCTCCAACCCCCACTATTTTCTTCTGTCTGGATAAGAAGCAGTAGATATGTCAGAGACTATCTCATGTAACAAATGCTAATTATTTCCCCAACCCTTGCTCTGTTCTGAATATAAATGCATCACTAATAACCCATTTTGAAATAATTGTTTCCAAAAGCAAGCCAGATATTCTAACCAAAATGAAGAAAATATGCATGTTCCTATTAATGAAATGTTAAAAGTTAGGAATGACTAAAATGAAGTGGGAAGAGCTCTTACAGGCACCTGCAGCAAAGCTAATCAATAGCACCCAAATTCAAGCACCTTAATTACTAGCATCAGATGCCATGGAAGAGAACACATGAAAGAAGAGAGAAAAAGAAAGTTCTCTCATGGGGAAGTGATTGCAGTCTACCACAGGAATGGCTTTTTCTGTCAAGCCTCCTGCAACAGTCTTATTCTGGCTTCCGTGAATCTCCACCAATCATGCATATTTGATCAAAATTTACATTCTACAGTTTAAATTTCGAAAGCATAAGGCATCAAGTTTTCTACATTCTACAAACCTCCACTCATGTTTTACTGTACCCACTAAAAGCAACACCTCCTCATCCTATTGATGCACTGAGAATCACTGAACTAGAAAAAACAAAACAGTCACACAAGAAGCCAAAATTACTGTTCCCTATAGAAATTGTACAAGACTGCCTACTATGTAAAAATGTGGATATTAATTTTCCCTTCATTCAACTTTTTGGTTTTATTCATATTTCTTATCTTATTTTATTTTTTTAAGAGAGGAGAATAGCCAGAGTGAGAGTAATCCTTTTTTTAAAGATAGATAAAATAGATAGGTAGAGAGAGAGAGAGAGAATTTTTTAATATTTATTTTTAGTTTTTGGGGGCTGAGGATAGAACCCGGGATGCACGCATGCCAGGCGAACGCGCTACCACTTGAGCCACAACCCCAGCCCTCTTATCTTATTTTAATGTATGTAATTATTATAATATACCTCAAATGAACTACAGAGTGAAATAGGATATAAATATATAATATAAAATAAAATACAAACTATAGTAAACAGACAAGAAGCAATTAGAGTAATATTAAAAATAATGATACTAACATAATTATCAAAATTATGCATGTACTTCTCATAAATTCCAGATTCCTAAAATAAGAAGATCCAAAATAGTTTTTTTAATTGCAGCAAAATATACCCATCTAACTGATTCCAAACTTCTTCAACATACAGGCATTTGCTGCTTCTGTCTTCTCCACAATATCACCAGCTTATATATATGCCAGGCACAACACTACATACTCTGTACACATTATCTTATTTAAACCTCAAATATCTGTGAGGTGGGGATTGTTATTACACCCATATTAAAGATGGGGAAACTCAAGAACAGATTAGAAAATTTACTCAAAATTCATTGTTAAATCTGGGATTTAATTTCATGCTCTGGTTTGACTAGGTTTGTCCCCATCAAAACTTAGAGTGTAGTTGATTCCTCAATGAAGCAGTGTTGGCTGTGATTAGGTCATAAGGGTGGAGCCCTCGTGAATAAATTAATGGAGTCTTATGGGGAGTGATTTCTCACTCTTAGAGGATCAAATTGGTTAACCATAAGCACAGGTTGTTACAAAGTTAGAATGTCCCTTGTGTCCCCTCTCTTTGCATATGCCTGCTTAACCTTCTTTTTTTTTTTTTTTTTTTTTTTTTGCTATGTTAAGACCCAGGATAAGACCCACACCAGAAGCCGTGACCTAATCTTGAACTTCCCAGCACCAGAACTGAGAGCTAAATAAACCTATTTTCTTTATTAATTACCCAGTCTCCAATATTGTTATAGCAACAGAAAAAGAACTAAGACACCCTATTTCCTAGCCAATAAGCTAGCCTCTACTGTTTACAGGTTGCTTTAAGAAGTCATAAGACTTCTGCATCAGAGACAAAGAACTTTAGTACTCACATCACAGGAAGCAGCAAAAGAACCAGTATATTTGTGTCACTCTCCTTGCCCCCAAGTCCCATGGGGAGTAACACAATATAGCACAGATGGATGCTCTCTTTGCAGTAGGTCTGCACGAAAGCTAAGGAACACTGGCAACCAACAGTTTTTATAGGAAGCAGTAAGGCTCCTCTATATGGCAAAGAAAGATATTACCTAAGAAATGGCCTGAGTGAAGAGTAATTAGGGCCATGGACTCTTGATATACACAGCAAGATGTGTAGGAGTACAAGAAATCCAAGAAGGAATCTTTCCCAACAAAACAGGGTTCAATCTCCTCCACGGAAAAAAAAAAAAAAAAAACACTGACATACTACTTCATACCCACTATGATGACTAGATTTTTTTTAATATTTATTTTTTAGTTCAGTTGGACATAATACGTTTGGTTTATTTTATTTATTTTTATGTGGTGCTGAGGATTGAACCCAGGGACTCACATTCCATAGGCAAACGCTCTACCACTGAGCCACAACCCCAGCCCAATGACTACCGATGTTGGTGAGAATGCAGAAAAACTGGAACCCTCATACACTGCTGGTGAGATGTTTGATGATAGGTGGGCCTGGTGGTGTACACCTATAATCCCAGCACCCTAGGAGGCTGAGTCAGAAGGATTGAGTTCAAAGCCATTCTCCAGCAATTTAACGAGGCCCTCAGCAACTTAGTGAGACTCTGTCTTTAAATAAAATTTTAAAAAAGGGCTGGGGATATAGTTAAGCACCCCTGGGTTCAATCCCTGGTACCAAAAAAAAAAAAAAGATGTTTGATAATAAGCCACTTTAGAAAACATTTTGACAGACCCTCAAAAGTTTAAATACCTTACCCTATGACCTAGCAATTCTAATCCTAGGTATATATTTGAGAGAAATGAACATATATCTATACAAAACCTTGTGTATGAGTATTACTGCAACATTATTCACAATGGTCAAAATGTGAACAAAATCCAAATGTCCATGAACTGCCAAATATATAAATAAAGAATTTGGAATTAAGTACTGATACATGTGACAACATGGATAAAATTTGAAAGTATTATACTCAATGGAGGAAGTCATTCACAAAGGACCATGTATTTTATGATTCCATTTATATGAAAGCCAGAAGAGGCGCATTCACAGAAACAGAGAGTAGATTAGTGGTTGTCAAGAATTGTCAGAAAGAATAAGAAGTGGCTACTAAAGGGTACAAGGTTTCGTTTTAGGGTGATGAAAATGTCCCAAAATTAGATACTGGTAATGGTTTCATAACTCTGTGATTATACTTAAAAACCAGTGAACTATATGTTTTAAAAGTATGAATTAAGATATGTAAATTCTATCTCAATAGATATATTATTTAAAAAAAAACTATACATGGCAATGTTTTGAGACACTCTAGAATAAAGATGGATCTTTTCAAGGATAGTTTTTTCTATGACCTAATAAAAATCAGTAATATCAACAAGAGCAAAAAACAAACTATTTCTAGCATGAAAGGATAAATTAATTGGAATACATAATAGCAACAATGGGCTTCACCAAGGATAAAAGCTAAAAGAAAAGGGGAGAAGCAATAGGTTTGGGTCACATAGTTTGTGCACATCACTTGACTATGCCTAAGTAGGTTATTTAGAGACCTCAGAAGAGGCACTTTTAAGAAGAAAATGACAGAATTATAGAAAGTGCCTCCTAAATACATAATGGACACCAAAAGTACACTAAATGTCCCCTCCCCTTCATGCAATCTCTTTCCCCCAACTCATATACTAGTGTTCCTTGTTACAGTGGGTACATCCTCAGACAGAATTTATCAGACAGGACAAATGTCTTTCACCTACTCTAACTTTTATTTTATTTGGCCCAAGCCACCCATTGCAACAGCAAAATAGGGTCCAAACCAGTCCCACTACCATTTGACTACTCTAGATCTTGCAAAACAGCATTTTTCTACTGTCCCCCCACAGCATGGATCCACCTAAAAGACATAAACTATTTTTACCCACAATGTTTATCCTTGCTAAATGTCCCACATACTTCTTTTTACATAATTATACAATCATTCAGATTTACCTACAAAAATTATTTTTAAAAACTATTAAATCAGGTAGATTCTACTGACAACTGACTTAAAGAAAGCACTACCTTCTCTAAACTTCACTACTGCAAATAAATAACTATCACTAATGTGCAAAGCTACTCTTTCAGGCAGGAGCTTGAGAATGTAAAGAGAATAAACTCCTCACATTACTACCAGCACTTAACGCAAAAGGGAGGGATAAATAGTGAAAAAAACTGGAAATAACTATGAAAAAATACTTACAGCCTCAAATTGCAAATGGCTATCCTTTAAGAAATTCTGAATTTTGTCTTTGGGTAAAATATTGAATCGAAATCGAAGGAGATCCATTTCTTGTTGAATGAACCAGCGTCTAAGATCTTCACTGAAATGGAAACAGAAAATTATGAGTATAAACTAAAAATCCAATTAATGTTAAATATGAGAAATTTTTGTGAAACAATATTCAAAGATGACAAGATGCCAATAGACAGCAGTTAAAAGCAGATGAGTCTTCTACTGTGATAAAGAAAATACAAATACCTCAAACCACACTCTTCCAGGGATATGCTGGGTATGAGGTCAAGGGATGTAATAAACATAAAAGATTAAATAAAGAATACTTCAATTCTACTGTCATTAATAACTAATTAAAACAAATAAAAAATTTAAAAAGAAAGAATAGTTCAAGTCTACCTGAATTATTACCGAATAGCAAAAAGGAAATAGTACACTGCATTTACTGTAATTATTAACAAGTCATTTACATTTGAAAATGGGGTACTCCTTTGGTCAAAGTTGGTTTCATAAATGCCAAATTAAGTTTTTTAATATTTTTATAGTTCATTTGAGTTATACATAAAATTAGGGTTCATTTTGACATAATCATACAAACATGGACTATATTTTGCTCTAATTCAGTGCCTACTACAAATAAATAAAATTTTTAAGGCAACTTTTTCTTTAAATAGATTATGATCAGTACATTTTACAAAGTAAAGCTTATAGCTTTGCAGATTATAATTTCACAAAATTTAATATATACAAGAATACTTCAATATTTCAAAGCTAACAAGAAAATATATTCAGTTGTAAAGCAGACACAGCATGCCTTATAAGGCACATATCATTATTGCAATATTATAAAATATTTATCCTACTGCATGTAAAACATTATTTCATGTTTTTACTTTTACAGACTGTCAGCAATTTATCCATTATACATATTACATAAACTACATATGCTTTTTTATAAAAATAAAAACTCTAGGACCAAAGTTTATGATCATAATTTCTCAATTATGATCTTGGGATAGGAAGCAATTCAAGATTTGTTCTAAATAAGTCTACTAATAAAAAGAAACAACCATAACTATATTATTTGGCCAAAACTAATAAGAAAGGAAAAACTAGATTTTTTAAAAAGCAGCTAACTCCTTCTCCCTCTGGGTGGCACTGTTGATTTATAAGAAACCAACCACCAACTGAAAATAACTAGTGTTAAAAGGCCCGTATATCGCAAATTTCAAAAAACTGTACTAAATTCAAGTGTGTGTTTGAGTCACTGTTTCTTATGAATATTTCCAACTTCTTTTCTGGAAAAGTATCAAACATCTTTCCTAATGAGATCCCTTCTAATTTAAATTCCAAATGAAGAGTATCTCTCATAAAGTTAAAAACTTTCATTGGGAAAAATTTTGCAATAGAAATTTTCAGTATTTTTTAGTAAGCGACTTGTTTCGGACAATTCACTACAACAGTGTCCAAACCATGGCACACTAGTTCCTGAAGTTATCCTGGGTTTTCCTATGTTCGGTACAAGCAGCTTCCCATGTACCAATTTATAACCCAAGATTTCAAGTTTGTAAGAGTACAAATGTATACTCACGACTGGCAATAAGCAAGGCGCAAAATAAAATGAGAGATGTGATCTCTTCTTCGTGGTTCATATTCATCTTCTAAGTTTTCCTTAAAAATAATTACACACAAATAAAATCACTGCATGAGAATGAAAAGAGGTATAAAGAAACATTGAATAAGCAAAAGTCAATGGTAAAGTAAAAAAATTTCAAAAACACATTTCTTAATATGCTTTCTAGAATAATTATCATTTTACTTAAACTACCACCAACTGAAACTAAGAACTGAACTGATCTCATCAAAACCTTCTGGGTTTGGACTCAACTATTTTCCCTTAGCTTTCTTTCTTACCCAGCCTATGCCTACAATACTTATTCACTGCTTCAACCATTTCTTAGACCAATCCTCAACTTCTTTAATTCCAACCATTTGGCAAAACCAAGATTCAAAATTAGTCCGTAGCTACAGTTCGCAGGCCTATTCCCAAAATGCTGAGAATTTCTGGAGGAAAAAAATACACAACTATAGGAATTTAGAATATAAAAATGAATGGCCTCCAACCTCAAGTAGACCCTTATCAATGTCAACAAATCTTTATTCAAGCCCAAAATGGCAAGATCAAACATTTCAGGCACTCACTAAGTACCTGGCACTGTTCTAAGCATTTTTAATGTAGCAACCCATTTAATTCTTCTTTTAAAAACTAGGAAGTAGGCACTACTATACCCTTATTTTAAAGGACTGAGGCACTCTGAGGTTATATAATTTGGCCAGGGTCACAAAGTGTGTCAGTCAGCTTTCTCTTACAGTATCAAAATACCTGAAATAACCAACTTAAAAAGAGGAAAGGTTGATTTTGGCTACAGTTTCAGAGATCTCAGTCCATGTTCACTTGGCCCACTGCTTTTGGTTCTACATCAAGATAGAACAACATGGCAGGGAATCCATGGCAGAGCAAAGCTACTCATCTTGTGAAGACCAGGAAAACAAAAAGATAGGAAAACACCAGGCTCCACAATCCCTTTCCAGGGCATACCCTCAATGACCTAAAAACTCCCACTAGGCCTCACCTCTTAAAGTCTGAATCATGTTCAAATATCACCAAGCTAAAGACCAAGCCTTTAACACATGGGCCCAGGAACAACATTCTAGATGTAAACTGTAGAACAAAGCTTAAGCAGCAATTACATATTGTCAGCCATGTAACAATTTGACACATAATTGTCTCCTTCCTTATTTCTTAGAAAAAATGTTTCAATTTTCACCAATTGCTTTAAGGTCCCTACCATAGTACCTTTCCTTTCTCTCTAAACAGGTGACTTCACCAGGCTATCAGGCAAACTCCTTCAGTTCCAAGTTTCTGCATCCACATGTTATGTTGCCTTCCCTAACATCTCTGTGGACATAGCATCTCTCCTTCCCTGAACCTAAAGCTAATCCCTACACCCAAATCCTGCGACTCATTTGCTCTTGCTCTGAAGGGCGACCTTCATTTATCTAATGTTCTATTACAGTATCAAGCTCCCCTCCTATTCTTTCTATTCTAGATCTTTCTTTTCAACATATAAATATGTTTAAGTATCTCCTGTCATATGTGTAAATATATACACATAAATGTATATATACATGCACCATTATGTGTGCCCGTGTGTATATGTGTTCACTTCTCTTTTCCATGAAACATCTATGTTCTGCCCTATTTCTCTCTTATTTTTTGGCTAAGCATCTTAAAAGAGTTCATATTTCATACCTAACTCTCCACCTCTCACCTCTCTCTTCCAGCCACTATCCTGAATCTGCCCCCATCTAAGAGGGCCCATCCAACTGTTAAATCTAATGGACACTGTACAACTCACCTTTATAAAATCTATCATAAGCTTCTGAGACTATTGTGGTTAAGAGTACCATCATAGAAACAAAATGTCCAGATCCGAATCTTGGCTCCACCACTTACCATCCTATAGGCTTGGGCAAGTTAGTTAGCCCATCAGTAAATAACACAGTTTCCTCATATGTAAAATAGGGACAACATAGTACCTACGCAAAAAGACTACTGACTAGACTACATGGGTTAATATAAATATAGTTAGAACAAAATCTGGTACATAATAAGAATACAAATATCTGCTGTTATTTCTATATTATCATTATACTATGACAACTATTGTCGAAATCCCGCATTCCTTGGCCTCTATTACACTACTATCCAATTCATCTCTTACTTCTCAGAAAGCTCCTTCTCAGTCTCCTCCCTAAACTCCTCCAATTCCACTTGCCCTTAAATATTGGTATTCTTCACTATCCTACATCATCTTCTCCTCTTAAATTATCTCCCTAGGATGTTCTCACCTACTCATGATTCCAACCCTCCTCTAAAACTGCACTCCCATTAAAGATGTCTTCTAAGTTCAAATTTGTATATCCAATTATCCACTTGACATTGCCACAGGCAACTCAAAGTTATGTCCAGCACTAAACTGAACATCTTAGTTCTAAGACTTGTTTTTCTTTTTGGATACCACCTCTCAAAATATCACCACCATCCACCTAATTGTCCAAATTAAGAACTTAGGTATCAGCCAGATACAGTGAAACATACCTGTAATCCCAGCTATTCTGGAGGCTGAAGCAAAAGGATTGTGAGTTTGAGGCCTACCTCAGCAACTTAGCAACACCCTGACTCAAAGTAAAATTTAAAAAGGGGTGGGAATGTAGCTCAGTGGTACAGCATTTGCCTAGCACACACAGATCCTGGATTCAATCTAGTACCGTGGAGGAAGGGAAGTGGGTGTAATTCTTAACTTTCCTCTCTGCTTTCCCCTATAAGAAGTTATAAAAAAAATTTTAATTCTACCTTCTTAATATCTCTTCAATCAGTCCTCTTTTCTCATTAATTCAACTCTCATTATTTTCAGTCTCCTGTTTTCACTCCTGAGGGACATGACCCTATCAATCTGCTATCAACACTCATCTTCCCAAAATAAATCTTATCACATCTTTCAGGATGCAGTTCCAGCATCACCTCCTCAGAACGCTTTCCCAAACGTCCTCAATCTCAGCTGGATCATTACATGTGCTCTTAAAGTTCCTGAAGCCCACTTCTAACAACCGCATTCATCATCTGTATTACACAGATACATTTGGCAACGTCTGGAGACATAGAGAGAGTGAGAAGAAGCCAGACATGCTACTGAGCATCCTGCAATGCATAGGACAGTTTCTTCAACAAGGATCTATTAGGCCCAAAATGATGATAATCCTGAGCTTGAGAAATCCTGACATAAGCATATGGACTGCATGTCAATTACCCAAGTAGACTTTGGGTACTTTTGTGCAGGGTCTATGCTACATTAGATTTTATAAAAGCCTGTGCTTAATATACGATCTTTCCCACAACTTACACAATAATATGAAAACAAACATACTGAAAGAATTTTTTCCCTCTTTTACTTACTCTGTAGGAAAACTTGAGCTTTCGAATCTCAGCCTCCAATTTACTCTGGTATTGCTCAGTTCCTTTCACATAGCTCACACCAAGATTTTCAACTGATTTTAGCACTGAAAAAGAAAGAACAAAAAGTAAAAATGTAAGATAATTTTTAAAAACTAAATTCAACACAAAAACTATAGAGAGCAACCTCTTAATTACCTGTTTTTTTAAGAGAGAGAGAGAGAGAGAGAGAGAGAATTTTTTAATATTTATTTTTTAGTTTGTTTTCAGCGTACACACAACATCATTGTTTGTATGTGGTGCTGAAGATCGAACCCAGGCTGCACACTTGCCAGGCTAGCGCGCTACCACTTGAGCCAAATCCCCAGTCCCTAATTACCTGTTTTTAGAACATGAAAAAATAAGTTTGATTTTCTGCAAGTTTATTAGATGAACTACATATGCTTGAAGGAAATTATCTCCATCTACATGAAGAAACTATGCATGTTCTACAGCAAAGTCTAACACCAGAGAATCTCAACCAGGGGAGAGAGAAGGATGAAGGATAATCCTTGTTGTACTAAGCCACTATTGTTGAGGAATGGAAAATTATGTTGTTATGGAAAACAAACCAAGCACCCTGTTTGCATTCTTCAGGTAGAATTGGCCATTTGGCAGTCTGCTTCACTTACGCAGCAAGACTCATAATAAAAAAAACAGGCCTTCCTTTCCTGATTAAACAGAGAAGAGGAAGACACAACAATGAAGAAGCAGAACCATCATATGCAAACAAATCATATAAAATAGATGTCACATACTGTTCAAAGATCCTTAAAGTCTCTTATCAATTTTTCATGGATTATTCTCTTGAGGCATTTTTTAATTCAAGAATGAAAACCTTGTAAATTATCTCCTGAACCCATGTTCCATGGATAGCTCCTTATTATGGTAGCCCTTATAACTTCCCCTTATTCCTGCTTTCATCTTGCCATTCCTAGCTCCATTAGCAGAGTTTCCATTCACTAGATCATCCAAGCAGGAACTTCAGCTACCCTACACCTGCTCCTTCACTCCTCATATTCAGAAAACCACCAAATCCTCTCAAAAATACTTTATTTGGGGGCTAGGATATAGCTCAGTAGTGGAGCACATGCTTTGCATGCACAAGGCCCTTGGTTCCATCACCAGGACAAAAAAAAAAAAAAAGTCTCCTTATTATCTCTTAAAAGCTTTCCCTTTCTATCACTGCCATTGTCATTACTTTAGTTTAGGCCCTTATCATTTCACTCTTAAGTGCCAAACCCAAGGGACACATTTACCATCATCTCAATTCCTATAAATCATCTGACATTACTAAGCTTTCTAAAACTTTTCCTCCCTTGCCTTGACTCTCACATTCATCAAAAGGATAATGAGTGCCCTCCTCTCAGTATTAGCATTCCTCACCCTGTTCCTCTAAGTATGAATGGCAGTATTTCAACCCTCTTTCTGATTTTTCCACAAGGATATTGTGTAACATCAAATCTGAATGGTACTAACATTTCTGTTTCAGTTCATGTCTAACTCATTCTTTTCTTCATCAACACACAGAGGATAAGCAGGCCCCAGTACAGTGGTCATACTCCTCTTACACTACAATACCATACCATCAGCATGGCACATATGCCCTTGGTTGTCCACACTTCTCTATCCACCTTATATTTGTCACTGTCCCCTCAAACATTACATTCTCTCCTCCAAGTCTTTGTGTAAGTATTATCTCAGTTGAGAAAAAACTCTTCCATTTCTTCTACTCATCCTTCAAAGCCCAGATTATATTTCTACTTCTCTAAGAAGACTTTCTTAATCAGACTAAATCAGTTACTCCAATTTCTATGCTTCAATAGTACTACTATTTACTTTTCCTGAAGCAGTAAAAATGCTGATTTATGACTATAATTTTAGGTATCCATGTTTTAGAATTCAGGTTCAATAAAGATACAAATTACAGAATTCACTTCAAACTTCCCACCACCTAGAACACAAAGATAGTCAACAAATATGCATTTTTAAACAAATAAATACAAATCCCTCAATGCAAATCCTCAATAAATATTTGTTGAACAGATTAATGAATAAGAGAGATAAATTACTTTCAATCATTCTCACAAATTATGATATACACATTCTAACTTAAATAACACTTACATTTAACTCTATCAATAGCCAAGTTTTCAAACTCTCTCAAAGATATGTTTTCAGTGGGTGGCTGCAAGTAAAACTGAAGGCTATGAGGATAACACGCATTCCTCTGGTCGCCTGCCAACCTCAGCTTCCTCCGCTTTCCTCCAGTAAACTGCATCTTGGATCACCTTTGGAAAGAAGCACATAAAAATGGAAAATGGAACTGAAAAGAAAACAACAAACAAAATACATCAAAAAACAATTCCACATACACAGTCATCAAACAGATAATTAGTGCCCTCCTCTCAGTATTAGCATTTCTTACCCTGTTCCTCCAAGTATGAATGTCAGTATCTCACCTCTCCTTATGATATACACATTCTAATTTAAGTACCACTTACACTTAACTCTATCGATAGCCAAGTTTTCAAACTCTATTAAAGATATGTTTTCAGTGGGTGGCTGCAAGTAAAACTGAAGGCTATGATGATAACAAGAAAAAAAATACTGAAATTGACGGCAGGCACAAAATGTTAACAGTGGTGATCCCTGTATGATGCATTTTCCAGATTTTCTACATACACCTGTAATAATTTTTGTGATGGTGGGGGGAGATGCACTAACCAAAGCTGACAGCAGGCGCTGGTCCTAACTTAAAGCAAAATTAAAGTCCGGTGATGTTACCTGCTCACTGTGGGTCTTTGTGCCACTGCCTTTAGATATCTGCGACCCCAAGACTTAGGATGAGGTTGTATATAGACTGCAATCCTAAAATCCGAGGAAAGGCGGTAGGTTCTGGCTAGATCAGAGACATAAAGGACTATGTGTTGCTAACTTTCTTTCGGACGACCCTGGAAAAACAGAACAACTGTCTTTTGGATCCAGTCTTTGGGAAACCCTTTTAGGGTGCATCCACAGGTGCCTTATAAAAGTTCCCACCCTAATTTTCCCAATTCCCCTCGGGCACCACGTCTCGCCCGAAACAACCAAAACCCAATACTCCACCCCGCCAAGTCAATCTTCTGCTCCCACTGCCAGAAAAGTGATCTCCTTTTTTCCTCGACCTGCAACCCTCAAAAACAGGACTGCTCTCCGTGCTAACTCAATTCCGGGAGTTTCTCTTACCTGCAAATGCCCAAATGCGAGAAAACACAAATGCTGACAGCAGTTTTCCCGAGTGGCGGGAGATTTCATTTGAGACCGGAAGCGGAAGTCCCTGGTGCAGAAGGCCCGCCCCCGACGGCCCACCCACCCGGCTCGGGCCGCGCGCATGCTCAGTAGGGAGCAGAGGGAGACAGGTTGCTCATCCTGTTTGATAGCTTAAAATTTCTTGAACACCAGTGTTTGGGAGTTCCTCCCACCCAAGTTTTAAAATGCTACCCCGGTATGTGCAGTTTGTAGATTTTGATAGTTGAAACTGGGATCCGAAAATATTGCTAGCAGCAAAAGTGTCCACGCAGAAGATTATGACTTCATTGGTAGACACTGACACCGATCCCGTTAATTGAGGGATACGTGGCATTTTAACTGCAGGGATGGCATTCATCGCTCTTTATCTTGGGTAGGAATGGAGAAAGAACAGACCGTGAGCTCCCCTTTGCTCCTGGCTCACTAGGACACTTTTCCCCTTGACTAATCTTTCAGCTATCCTGTACCCTGAGTTCGCAATGAGAAAGCAGAAGCTGAAAGTAATTGTTAGTTTGCCCATCTACATAGGATGCGTATTTTATCTCATTGGGGCTACAAACCCCCCTAGGGGTAGGCTCCACGTTCATAGGACGCTCCTCACAACACTTCCCAGTAATGTCTGTAGAATGGACTAGAATGAGTGGATAAGCTCTTATTCGCAGAAATCTGCAGGAAATAGAACAGATCAGCCTTGGAGGGAATGTAGGTTCAAAAAAAAAAAATGGAAGCGATGGGGAGCAAGTGGGTGAGTCCTTTATTTTCCAAGTTTGGGAACAGAGACTCAAGGGGCGCATTAGAGCCACATTGGGTCTCCGACAGTAGTCCAGAGTTTCCAAGAACTGGCAGTTAACTTCGAGTTTGGCCCCTAGGAGGCGTGTTTCCCTTACTTTTGGCGCGGGACGGCTCTGGTAAAGTAGACACTGGAGGTGAAGAACCCTTTGAAAAAGTTTTTAGCTATGCAGAGTATATTGATACAATATCAAGATTCAAAGCACCTACGCAGCATAGACTAAACTGTGGATTTTCTTTATGCTAGGACCTGTTGTAAGTGCTTTACATAATGATTTTTATTCTTAAAATCACTTAAGGTGGGTTCTATTGTTACCCCATTTTACAGATAAACTGAAGAACAGGACTATATCCAAGCACCACTGTGCAAACCATCTCACTGTTCTAATTCCACTAATGTGGCAGCAGAAGTTCCCTTCCTTTTTGTATCAGACTTAATAATAAACATCACCTGGTCCAAAGACACCTTATATGAACTTCCTGAAAAAAAAAAAATACAATCTGGAGCACAGACCATAAGAACATTTATGAGTAGTATCTGATCTGTGGATAGAGAAGGAATCTAAGAAAAAAATCTAAAGATTTAACCATAAAATCATAAAATCGGGGGCTGGAGTTGTGGCTCAGCGGTAGAGCACTCCTCTAGCACATTCGAGGCCTTGGGTTCGATCCTCAGCACCACATAAAAATAAAGATATAAAGCAATTTTTCAAAGATTATTAAAAAAATAAAATCATCTCAAAAGGTCACAAACTATTGTGTAGTCCTCAAAAATGTTAATACTATCAGACTATCAGGATTCAAAGAACTTATGTCAATTTTAAAGAAAAACTCAAGATTCAAACTGGAAAATGGGAAAGAAAAAGAACAAAGTTATAAAGTAACAAAATAATAAAGTAGGAAAAATAAACATTTTCATTGGCACCAAAGAAATTTTCCCCAGCAAAAGCAGGAAAGCTTTCACAATTATAATGTTCAATGTGGCCACCTGTGTTGCTCAGTTAAGATCCCAAGACTCTTATGATTCCCATACGATGTCATTTTTTTCTCATTATATTATTCCTCTACCACAGAAGGTCTGAATCTTTTGGAAACATGAGCGACTCGAAATTTGGCAACTTATCTCCTTCAGAAAAATGCACCTACACACCAACTTTATATACTGTCTCAAAAAGTTTATGATCACTGTGTGCAATTGGTTAAAATACTAGCACTACTTGATTTTAAGCCTTTTTCTGGAAGGTCCTTTTGTTTATCTTTTTGAGGCTTAAAGTGCATACCACAATATCTTCCAAATTAAAAGATGAGTAACTAATGTCATGTTTATGACCAATACAAAAAGAACTGGAAAATGTGTTCATATTTAACATTATAAACTTTTTACCATGTCACATAATAGCTGACTTTCCATTATATTAACTTATTTTAAATCTCAGGGAACAAAATAAAGCCAAAGTCTGTCAACTATTCCAGAATCTTTATTGTTTTCCAATGCCAAAGTTTTGGGCACTATCTGACTGAAGAGTGTTTTCTGTATCCAGGGGCAATTTCAATATGAATCTACATATTGCAGCAGCAATAATGCAAAATAATGTTAGACATTTCAGGAGCTATTTCCAATAAATCACTGTTAGCACTTTCATGTATTCATTTCAAAATCAAAAATGGGTTGATACAATGCTCAGCCCTGGAAACCAAGATTCTTGTAAATTACAGACACTGATCTCACAATCAAAAGTAAGAAAACATATAAATAGAATTTTTCTTCCACTGAACCATAATTATTTCAAAAACAGGAATGACTGTGGCATTTGTTTTTGTAACCCTTGTTCCTGGCACTCCATGGGCCTTCAACAAATATTTATGAAATGGAATTGATAAACACTGTGAGAGATGTATGAAAAAAACCTGCCAGATTCAACTTCACATTAAACAGATGGTTTGAATCAAATGTGACTCCATCCTAAAAAACTTCAAGTCCTCATCTGAAAATTTCATACACATTCCTTCCAGAATGACTTGGCTCCCTATTTTAGCCTATAATAAAGCACAGAGTACCTTTTCTGGAAGAATTTCCATGAATCATCACTGCGTAATTCAATGCCTGTCCTGGGTAACACCAGCTATGGACAGACTGGCCCACAGGGCATTCACCCTTAGATGACTCCAGATCCCCAGGACTTCTGTCCCATAATGTGTTACACAGTTAAGATATTAGTTGCCATGGCTGGTAAATCAGAGTGAGTGTTCATTCTTCCCTGGTGCAGGGTGTGTTGTCCTAAAAAACAGGGGTGTGGTAAATTTCTTTTACTAAGTGAGCATGCTCTGAACTCGAGGTCTGGCCAGCCCTGCTTGCCATGGAAAGCAGAGGAACAGGAAGTTCTTCTAGCAGAATAGTGGACCCATAAAAGCTAATGCAAACCTCTGGTCCCATCACCTTCCCCACTTCACGGCCTGACTCTGGGAGTTGGCTAGGAAAAAAAAAAAAGTTAAAGAGAGTATTTATCTCGTTTTGCTTTATTAATCTTAAAGCAATAAGCAGGAAAGCTAGAGAGAAACCATACTCTTGTGTGGGAGGGAGTACTACACTTCCATATATCCACATTATTTGATTTGTTCCAGAAATGTTAATTAATACCAACCAAGCCCAGACAATGTTTTTCATTTTGGAGATTAAAAATAAAAGTGATGAAAGAACCAAAAATTCCTGTCCTCATAAACCTTATATTCTAGGGAAATAAGAGAAACAATAAACAAGATAAAAATACCCATAATTATGTAAGAAAATAACTGCTAAACAGAAATAATCAGCCAGAGAAGGAGGCTGTAAAGTTTTAGGAGGAAGCATTGAAATTTTAGAAAGAGTGCCCAGGAAGGATCAACTAAGAATGTAACCATAAAGCAGAGACCAGAAAAATTAAGATTTATTCATGTGTATCTTCAAAAGAATAGCACTCAGGTAGATGGAAGGCTTATTATAATTCCATAGCATTTATTCCTGGCACAGGAATAAACAAATTAATGGAAACAGAACATGACCCCACAACCATGAAGAAACCTAGTATATGACAGATCCACTGCAGAAATCCATGTAAAAAAGACAGACAATTCTAAATGATGCTGGAATGACTGGCTATCCATATGGAGGTGGACTTTATTCGCTACATTTCATTATATACAAAAAATAAATTCCAGAAAATTAAAGCCTTACGTGTGAAAGGCAAAATATTAAGAATTTAGAATAAATCTATAGATAGTCTTTACATCTTGATGCAGCAAAGAATTTCTGAAACAAGACTTTAAGGGTCAAACACAGTGGCACTCACCTATAGTCTCAGCTACTTGGAGACTGAGGCAGGAGGATGGCTTGGGCTTAAGAGTTGGAGGCCAGCCTGGGCAACATAGCAAAAACCTCATGTAAAATAAAATTTAAGAAAAAGGACAAACAGTACTCAGATGGATAGTAATGATGGCTGCATGATAATTTAAATGTATTTAATGCCACTATAAACTTAGAAATGAGTAAAGTAGTAAATTTTGTGTTATGCATCTTTTGATCACGTTTTTTAAAAGTCCAAATTAAAAAGAGATTGATAATTTTACTACATTAAAATTAAGAATATAAATTTTAAATATATAGAGATACATTTTTAATGATCCACAAAATGGAAAAGGATATAACTATCACGGGATTAGTATGAGAACACAATCAAAATGGGAAAAAAAATTAAAAACACAATGGGGAGCTTTAATAGGAATTTTACAACAGAGAAACAAAAATGACCAATAAAAATATGGGAATATGTTCAATCACACCAGCAATTAGGGAAATTCAAATTAAAGTCACAGTGAAAGGGCTGGGGTTGGGTTCGGTGGCAGAGGCACCGTGTGAGGCACTAGGTTCGATCCTCAGCACCACATAAAAATAAACATGATAAAGATATTGTATCCATGTATAATTAAGAAAATATTTTTTAAAAAATCACAGTGGAATAGCACTGTACACTCACAAGAGGGACAAAAAACTAAGTTTCAATATATGAATTGTTGACGGGGACTCATGCTGCAGGTAGAAGTATTAACTGATAGAACTACTTTGAAAAAATAATTTGATATCACATGATAAATTTGAAGGTCTACAACTCTTTATGCATGTACAGTAATTCTATTGTAAATACTGTACATCCTCCAGAGAAATTTTTGTCCATAGATATCAAAACATTAACAAGAATATTCATGG